CCTCACCACCTCCTGATTCTGTAGTGACGGTGTTGCCATTGTAGGGTTGTTCAACCAGGACCACATGCAGTTTGAGGCTGAGAGGCAGCAGAATCCAAACAAGGAGCCATCTTTAGCTGACATGACAGATAAGGCCATACGGATACTGAGGAAAAACCCCAAGGGATACTTCCTCTTCGTGGAAGGTAAGGGCAACTGTTTCATGTATTGACAGACAAGGCCAACCCCAGGGATACTTCCTTCGTGGATACTCAGACAAGGTAAAACCCCAAGGGATACTTCCTCTTCGAAGGTGAGGTAAGGGCAGCTGTTTCATGTAGTGACAGACAAGGCCATACGGATACTCAGGAAGAACCCCAGGGATACTTCCTCTTCGTGGAAGGTAAGGGCAACTATTTCATGTATTGACAGACAAGGCCATACGTATACTCAGGACTCTCTTCGTGGAAAACCCCAAGGGATACTTCCTCTTCGTGGAAGGTAAGGGCAACTGTTTCATGCAACTGTAGGCCAACACCGGGTGTCTTTATTGATCATCCATTTGGATTTAAATATATTTAATCACTATTAAGTCAGTTACGGCTGAAGGAATCTCTTATCTTCGGGTAATCGAGACTGGTAACTCTCTGGTTCTGACGCTAGATGTTCTGGCAACACTCCTCTTTCAGACAGCTTACATGTCGGGAACGTAATTTATTAACGGTTTTAGATAAAGTTTACGTTTTGTGAGTGATTGGCCAAAGCCGACGCCGTCTTTGTGGATGATTGATCAAACCCACCATTGCACCCACTTCTGTAAGACCGGATCCGTCTTTCGAGATCCACAAAGCCTTGAAAGCCGTCATATGAACGTAAATATTCTTAAGTACGACGTTAAGTCCCATTTCACTTCACCTAACCTTGAGACCGCCTCCGTGGTGTAGTGGTTAGAGCGTCAGGTCGCGGGTTCGATCCCCGACCGCGTCATACCAAAAAACGTTAAAATATGGTAATAGTGTTGGTCCCTGCCTGGCGCTCGGCATTAATGGGTACATCAAGGACTGTTCGGCTCGGAGTCAGTATAATGTGTCTGAGTGGGGTATTCATGCTTCACTGCGGCATGGTATCTCAGTGGGCTAGCACTATAAAACCAGCTTCAGTCTGGGCTAGTACAAGCAGCCTCACATACACATACACATGCATGCACGTCGTCATATGAGCGAAATATTCTCAAGCACGACGTTAAACCCAATTTCACCTCACCTCACCTAACCTTGAAAGCCCTACAACCGACTTCAAACGTCCCTACCACTGCGATCTTATTAAGCATCATTAAACAGTTTGTTTTACCTCAGATACATTGATCGTTCACATCAGACAGCAAGCCTTAATGGAAAAGTCACCAGTCATAACAGAACCGGAATAAAGTTTAAAATTTAACGAAAATCAAACCATCTTTCAGGCGGTCGCATCGACCATGCGCATCATGTGAACAGAGTCGCTCTGGCATTGTCGGACACTGTAGCATTTTCTGAAGCTGTGTCACGTGCTGACAATCTGACCAATCACAGGGACACGTTGATAGTGACCACAGCTGACCACTCCCACACCATGATGATGGCCGGATACCCTTCCAGAGGCAACAACATCCTTGGTAGGTGCGTTAACCGGGTCACAATGGGATAGAATTTATCAAAGTGATTATTTGGTTTCTTTTAGCCATGGCGTCCTTAAAATACGTGGGCGCCCTGAAAATTGTTTTATTGTTTAAGCAAGAAATTCCGTGTTTCTGACTTTGCATATATTGTGGCAGATCCCCTGAGTGACCAGTTGTCACCATGTTGTCTCTTCCGCCGAAGAGGGAGAGGAAATATACTATGATTAGTATATTTTCTAAAGTTCTTTTTTTTTTACTTGACTTGTAAATAACAAAAGAAAAACAAACAAAGCATCTAAGTCGCTCCTTCCTGTGGCATAGCTGCGCAAAAACTCAGGGGAGGTAACTGTCTTTCATGTATGAAGTCAGTGAGTGCGCTTTTAGCAATATTCCAGCAATAACACGACGGGGGACACCGGAAATGGGCTTCACACATTGTAACCATGCGAAGAATCGAACCCGGGTCTTCAGCGTAACGAGCGAACGTTTTAACCACTAAGCTACCCTACCGCCCCAACCCTATCAGAATCCGCGCCTGACGTTCTTCAGCAATACGTTTTATAATGTTATATATGTCTTGTAGCTTACAGTATACCCACGATGTAGTTCATTGTGTTAAGTCACACTTTATCTCAAAGTCCAGAGTGTTTTAAGAGGGTCTGCAGTTGAAATGATATATACGTGCAGACGTGTTGATATATCTGTCCAACGACACAGCATCTTTGCGCAAAGCTAAACCCATTTGTGTCAACGAGTCGCGACCCAGTCCCAAAATAGCCAAGAAAGAGGGCTTTTCATTCTAATAGCGGAACGGGGGTTTTGTTCCCAGACGTGTAACGCAATTCTTGCTGCTTCATTTGGCCCACTCGTGTTAGCGGGACCAGGGTTTTGTTCAGAATAACAAGCTCGTGTTATTCTGCGACCATTCATGACCAACTCATGATATTCCAGAACATCCGAATAGCGACTCGTTTTAAAGTTTTAAAAAAGTAAAATATCTTCTTCAATCTTCCCTGGCATTTAACAATAAAAATGTGATCGTTCTTTTGAAATGGGCATGGGATCATGTGCATAATCCCCACTTGCGACCAAGTGTATACGCGGGAAGCGGTCAGCCATCTCGAAGTGAGTGAGTGAGTGAGTTTAGTGTTACGCCGCACTCAGCAATATTCGAGCTATATGGCGGCGGTCTGTATATAATTGAGTCTTGACCAGACAAGCCAGTGATCAACAGCATGAGCATCGATCTGCGCAATTGGGAACCGATGACATGTGTCAACCAAGTCAGCGAGTCTGACCACCCGATCCCGTTAGTCGCCTCTTACGACAAGCATGGGTTCCTGCACGGTTAGTTCATTCTTACCCGGACCTGCACGGTTAGTCAGCCGTCTTAGCCCAACGCAGGTTGGCATATACTGTAACGAAACCAAAATAAATATATGTACTCGTTTACGACGGATACAACATTTCCCTTCTCAATTTTGACACAGACAAAATACATCTCCCGAAACAACTGAGGCCTATTCAGCGGTATAACATGAACTGAATACGTTTTGTACGCTGAATTTGGAATATCTAGTATGTAATCTACAGGAAGCCTTCCCTGGTACACACTATATATCGTTGATGCTGACTTTAATGAGATTCGCCTGGTGATTTGTATCAAGATGACCTTTTTTTTCTAAGCCGCTTTTGCATAATACCTAGACTCGTTGATACACAGGCAGCCATGGACGGGCCACAATGGTGCTGCCAGGTTAAAACAACATTCACTCATGAAAGTTAAAAACGTATTATGTCACTGAAATTTATTTCGCCAAGACGTTTTAATATACGTGTGCCCTGAAACAGAAGTGACAACCTCAGTAACAAGTATGTCCATGTTTGGCTAGGTGTGGTGGACACGTCTCTTGACGATGACAACCTGACATACACAACGCTGATCTACGGAAATGGCCGAAACGTCAACTACGGAGGCCGGCGAAACCTCACGAATGATGTAACGAGTGAGTAATGCAGAAGTGGAACTAAAATTGTCAATGAATTTAGTCGAAAACATTCTGTTCTAATTAATACCCACTTACTTCTGGGAAGCTTCCTCCAACTAGATGACCTCGCACTAAATGGTTGAAAGGGCGCGATAAACATCACCCTTGCTATTACGAAACCTTAACCATAAAATTTTGCAGTTGCCTCTAGTTTCTGCATTTCTTAGCTTTGCAACAGACGTTTTATTTCCGAGAGCTATTATGTTCCACTAATGTTTACGAGTCATGATTATTTAATATCATTTTATTTGTTTGTGTGCTTTTTAATAAATCTGGTATTGTTCAGTCTTCATGTATTCTTTGGAATTCCTGATGCTTTTTTATCGTTTCAGCCAATGTGAATTATACCTCTGAGGGCAGCAGTGCGGCACAATATTGAAACACACGGAGGTGAAGATGTTGGTATTTATGCACGGGGGCCGATGTCCCATCTCTTCCACGGTGTCCACGAACAGAACTACATTGCGCATGTCATGATGTATGCTTCCTGCGTGGGACCATATGTTGAAGACAGACAATGCGCGTCCCTGCTCTCGGCTCCAACGGTGCGACCTCAGAAACCCTGCATCAACACGGCGTCATCCAACCACTGGAACCTGATACTTCTCATTACTGTGATACTAGAACTCTGAATGTGACCTGTTTACAAAGTTATGGCATCTTAATCGAAGCTTAAAACCGATTTGAGGAAGTTTTCGTAAAAGTATTTTTTGCGCGAAGTCCTTTCAAAAGATAAAGAAATTACACAAAGACAAACAGTCTATTCTCTAAAAGATACCACTGCCCTAATATACAGACAAATTTACAGTTAACATTACTGGATGCAGAATATGATAATAATAATTGATGGAAATACAACTTTTATTCTGTGAAGGCGACGTTTCCTCATAGACTACAGTTGGATACCCATAAATCATTCTTCATCCCTCAACTTCTAAAATTACATTGGATGCAGTTTCATAGAAACGTTGCAGAAATTATGCACATGTATACCTGAACAATTTCAGCAGTATTTTCACTTCCGGAATACTTTCCATCTGCGCCATTGTTTAGGTTCAGATGGAAATTTCATATTCAAAATCAACATTCCATGATACACAGTATACGTATTATTGACATAGATCGGAAACTATTTAATAACATCTGATGAAGACATGGGCTCGAATATCGGCCTTTGGCAATCCCTGATAATGCCTCCAGTGTATTTATGCTAAATGTCGAAATATACAAGAAGTGGTGACGATAAAAACCAACTAAACATGTAAAACCCGACTACAACTACAGGCAGTCCGTGTATATAGTAAGGTGGGACAGACCTACAGATAACCATACCTCCCAGCAGGTTTGTTTCTCTCTTTGCCATTAAACTTCATCATGTCAACTTTAGTGCCTGATATTGCCTGGAAAAGCATCACCTTTTCAGCATCTGTCAGTATCTTGCAAGTAGAAACCTTTGAGGAATAATACGACATATCGAGCAGGCCAAACCGAATTTGGAACTCCAGTTCACCAAGAATGTTCCTCAAATTCGAATCGTGTACAGGTTTGTGTTGACGTTTACATTCCGCCTCTGCCCAGCGAAGCATAGCCTCGAAGACGAAGCGTTCCTCACAAGCCAAAGAGTCGGAGGAAATGACGTCAAAAACGCATGCGCGCGAGAGCTGAATGAATCCGGTTGTTTGCAACACTTCCTTCCCCTTTTGGTGAATGAAAGAGAGACAACTCTTGTACAACTGCTTCTCGTCAAAGACGTGAGCTTGTTCGAACAATGAACACACGTTGTCGACAGACATCATGTTCTTGACGAAGTCCACGCACTTGGTCAACAGAGACTGGATGTTGTACTTCTTGCAGCAGTAAAGGACGGAGAGCACGTTGTCCGGGTCAATGCGTACTTCATCACAGTACAGGTAGCTGAAATAGCCAGTATAAAATATCTAAACTGATGTTCAAAAGAAAGTATAGACCTGGGGAATTATCCTCCCCCAAAACAAACCAACAAACAAATAACCAACAAAAAAAAACAAAACGAAAGCGAGGTCAGATAACATAGGGAGGTCACGAGTTTCGTATAATTCGTATGTAATGAGACCTCGTGTGGTATTTTATTTATTACCCACTTCTTACATGCATTAAATTGACAAAATAGCGTATTTTTGTTATTTTTTGGTTTCAAACCGAAACAGGTTTCATAAAGAGGTTGCGGAAGAGTTTTGTACTGTAGTACAATATTTGCATGACGTCACACTGTAATGACGTCACTGCCTTGGTAACCGACGTCAGGATGCATGTCAGTTGTCATCGCCTCGTACAGCCTCCTACAGTAAACTACTCCGTAGCACCCCTTTACTTGGTTTGCAGTTGCGTCATTCGGCTAACATCACTGGTGGAAACATTGCGTTTATGTTTTTCGACGGATATAATGTCTCAGTTCGACTCACAATTAAACAGCGACACGGCAACGTTCGCAATGTTTACATTCCCACAATGCATTTAAGTTGTAGAATGAATGAGTTCACGTGTTTGTTATGAATGAAACAATAGTTACGTCAGTATGTGACCTAATTGAGAGGTCATCGGTTATCCAATCAAATCGTTAGAATCTCAGGTCAAGTGGTTACGACACAGGTCAACGCGATACGACACTCGTGTGACGTACGAGATTAGTATGCAACTACCCATACGTTGACCACGTGGGTATTAAAGGTGCAGACTGTATCTTGGATCTTCTTTGTGTTCCGGTGCTGTGACATACTGTACAAGTCCAGTATTGTGGAAGTAAAAGTGTGTATGTAAGTTAGGATTCCACAACAAACTACATACATTGAATAGAAAAATAAAATGTAAAGGATCATTTAAAAATGGATTTCCTTATATTCAGTGTCATTTTAGGATGGTGTACATATTTTGAAGAGGGACATTTTTACTGAGAATTGCTGCTGAATATTTGCTTCTGGGTATGTCCAGATACATCCATGAAAACATACTGTTACCAAGGCCAGTGGTATTTTCCAGATTTCCAAATAAGATCAAATTAGTTATGCTGTGATTGATTTTTTTACATTAATTATATACAGACAAATATATTGCACGAAGTAGTAGTTTTCAGATTATTTAACTAAATTTGAACAACGCCAACGGATAACTAAGTAAAGGCGCCACGCGCAACGTTGACAATCTATTTATAGATACCAAAACGATCTGCAACATGAACATGTGGAAGTTTTCACGGTTTTTATAAAATTATGATGGGTATTTTGGGGGAAAAAAAATCCAAACATCAAAATTCAGTTATCCTTCCCCTGCTGATATCTTTGACAGAGGTGAATTGCCCGATAGATTAATTGATTCGAAAGAAAATACGCTTCCTACTCTCTCAGCAGCTGGCCTAGACGATTTTCATCGGGCATGTAACTCATTTTCACTCGCCAATTGCAATCGGCCAACTAAAATATATTAAAAATCACATACCTATAACTTGCATCTTCACAAAGGACGGATACCAAAGTACCACAAGCATAAATCATCAATGCAACGTTCACAATCACTTACGTTTCGCCGGCGGTGACGCCATTGTGATTTAGTCAGTGGTTGTTCTCTCTAACGTCAAACACGAAGTGGGCGGGGCTTATCGGCCGGGACTGGATGGGTCTATTAATCTTAAAGATGACGTTGTAGGGGAAGATCAGACGTTCCTGATTTGGTTCAGAAATTGGTTTATGCCGCAGTTGTCCACAAACAACATTAATTAGTTGCAGTCATAAATATGAAATTCGAAACAACTAAAACAGTTGCCTTTTAAGGCGAGATGGGATCGAATCGTTTGTTCCGGATTATAAGCGGGCTGTCGGTGTGAAAAGTTACACTGGACCACAGGTAATGAACACCCTATATACCACGTGGGTTGATTATCAGGTCAATATCTGGGGTTATTAATTTTTGTGAACGACCTCTCAAGGGGTTGGTTATCAGATAACCAACCTTCCCAGAAAAGGTTGGTTACCGATACCGGGAACAAGGCTCGGGAACAAGGCTCGGCTTCGCCTCACCTTATACCCGGTATCGCACCTCGAGAAGAACTTTTCCCTTGGCAGATCGGGTCTTACAACCCTATGCCTCTACCTCAATGTTTTTGTTGGAAACATCTTCAATAAATAAACAAATACAGAACCATTCAAAATGATGTATTTTTTGACAATATCTGCACACTGCCGTTAATAAATTGGAACCGGCAGGACCTCCTTCCCCCTTTTCCATTCTCCTCAGGGTCACTTGAATCATCTGAAAAATGAAATAGATGTTTATACAGGATCCTCATAGATAGTTACAACAATGATTAATTTGATGATACATTCCCAGAACGTGAACATAACGTTTACCAACAAATTGCATTTATCAGTATCAACCATATTTTTCATGAAAATCTCAAATACCAATACATTGGGGGTTAGTACAAACTCTTGACCAATGGAATGACAGTTCGGTCAGTGGGCGCCTGTGGCCTATGAGAGCAGTCCATTTCCCCTGACCAATAACGTTAAATTTCATTAGAAGAGTTAGTAATGAGAACGTTTTAAATTTTTCCCTAAAATTATGTTTCCACTGGGAGAAACAAAACATACCATCTGGAGTTGAAGCCTTGTGTTCCGTTTTGCATCGTACTTCCTCGATTTTGGCTTCTTACTGGTGAGAATGCTGCTGACCATCTTAATTGGTTCTCATTTACTCTCTTGTACGCCCGTACACCTGCAACAGTTGATTAAAATCAATGGTACTATTGAACAATCAGATAAATTCGCAAATTAGGGGGAGAAAGAAGAGATGAAGACTGGGAGGGGCGTGTCACCCGTTTTGTTCTGGGGAGGTTTGTTTTGTGTGTGTGTGCGTGTGCGTGTCTACATTTTTGTACACATGCACTACGGGTTGGGTTGGGTGGGCGTGGTCAGCAATTTTGTACGTGAAAAGCAGGCGGGGGGTGAGGGGCCACTTTATATATAAAGTGTTATCTTTTTAAACCGTTACCCATGCTTGAAATGTATTCTATTAGGATTATTTCGACGGGGTAGGGTTTAGGATTAGGGGTAGGGTTTAGGATTAGGGGTAGGGTTTAGGGGTAGGGTTTAGGATTAGGTTTAGGGTTTAGGGTAGGTTTCTTTTCATAAAAAACTGGTCGGCTCGGAGTCAGTATAATGTGTCTGAGTGGGGTATTCATGCTTCACTGCGGCTAGTATCTCAGTGGGCTAGCACTATAAAACCAGCTTCAGTCTGGGCTAGTACAAGCAGCGGCACATACACATACACACGCATGCACGTCGTCATATGAGCGAAATATTCTCAAGAACGACGTTAAACCCAATTTCACCTCACAGGCAATTCAACTTAATTTACATTACTTCATTATCTGTGAATTTAACTTGCTTAATATTACTACCAATATCCTAATATTTTCGAAAAAGGAACCGCTAGATAGGCGGTAATGAGTATAGCTTTTCTGAGTACAAATACAGATAAAGACAAATGCTATGTAGGGCACGATACTTACCAGAAGACCAGTTTGCTTCAAAATCCACTCTGGCCTGGAACAGAGTCGTCGCAGCTCGTTGAGAAGTCAAGACATCTCCTTGTCGCAATTCATTTGCTGTAATGGCAGTTTCAATCACGTGGTTTTACATAGCACGTGATTGTTTAGAGCTCGATTTGCACGAGATTCTGGTGCAGGAACGTATTTCGCACACTTATAGTCCGTTTGGTGTTCGAATGAGAACGACAAATGATTAAATAACTCGAAATCTGGAAAAGTGCAGAAAACATAAGTAAGACACATGGTCCTGAAACCTCTGTACCCAACAGGATCTGAAATTGGAAGTTTTTTTATTGCTCACGGTAAAAGTTGTTTAGTAAGAAACCATCATGTAGTATTGTGCTATTTTCACGCTTCACACCGGGGGATGACAAACGGCTGATGGAACAGCGCCTGACTAGCTGGGGTCATCTCACCTGGCTGTGCTGAGTTGCACATGAACGTGTGCGTGTGTGTTATCTGACCAACTCTCGGTTCCATACCTGGAACAAGGCTCGGCTTCGCCTCACCTTATTCCCGGTATCGCACCTCGAGAAGAACTTTCCCTTGGCAGATCGGGGTTGACAACCCTATGCCTCTACCTCAATGTTGTTATTGGAAACATCTTCAATAAATAAATACTAAACCATTCATTTTTCTATTTTATTATAATATATGCACATTGCAGTTAATAATATTACAACTAGAATAAGAATGTTTTTGACCTTGTGGTATATGCGAAATAACAACCTTAAGCTCGTGATTCGCTTCGATAACCACCTCTCGGTTTCCTCGAAGTGGTTATCACAGTGAACCACGAGCTTGGCGGTTATTATTTCACCCTTATTGTTGGCATGACATATAACACAACCGATTCCATAAACCTCGATTTCTTTAGCTTTTCTCAAACTACTGCTACGACGAATTTAGTTTAGGAACGATGTTCGGATATTCAAAGTCTGTTCTGAACACACTGTATTTTACAGGAACTCTGGCCTCGATCGGCAAATAATATCAATGAAAATTGCGGTGTTTTCAATAGCACTATTGTCCAAGATGTCTGCAAATAGTTCGTTATTTTGCAGGAACATTTTGTGAAGCCATGGCTCACCGGGCCCAGCCTATGGCGCTGGTATATTGGCGGTGATCGGAAAGAAAGTCACAGATAAACATGATAAAAAATCACAATTTTGGCTAGGAAAAACAGTCACAATACCTGTTACAATACCACTAAGATGCTATTGTGGGACGTGCCCAGCTGTGGATCTCAGTTTCCTTTTCTTTAGGTTTAGAATAGGTTGGCACAAACATTAACCATGGGCATGGCCCATGAATCACCTTTACTTGCTATCAAGCTTCTTTTTCGTTTTTTTTGTCCTTTTCTGTTCAAACAACGCAAAATGATCCTTCGATGGACCATTCGAACACCTCTTTAGGCTCCTTACAATTTGATAACCACACCATTCAGATTATTTTTCACTCAGTGTTATTACCAACACATTTTTAATATGTATTAACGACTCACGAGCTATGATATGTGAAACAGCTTATAGACCCGACTTTGTGTAGTCGTCAGAATGCATGTGCGGATGATTTGAAATGGACTGTAATCACGAGAGATGTGCGTGACAGACCAAGGCGCTGATTGGTCGGTGTGGATTGTGTGATCATGTAACAAAGGCTCGCATAATACAATTTTTAGTCCTAATATATGATATTAATGATACGGAAACACACTCGGTTAATAATCTCTATTTATCTAAGTGCCAGGCTGGGTGACAAGTGCATTATTTTGTATGGTGCAGCTGGGGATCAAAGTACCAACTTTTTACTCTCCAGACAGATACTCCAGACAATGCTAAGGTTTTGTTTTGTTTTTTTCTTTGTTGTTTAACACAGCACTCAGCATTGTCCAAGCTATTTCGCTGTGGTCTGTAAATAATCGAGTCTGAACAAGACAATCCAGTGATCAACAACATGAGCATTAATCTACGCAAATGGATACAGTGACCTCTCAGCGTAACCACCCAATCCTGTAAGTCGCCTCTTACAACAAGCATGGGCTGCTGAAGATCAACTCTTGCGAGCAACTTTCAAGGTTCAACCCTAAGGACATAGAAAATGGATACATGTAAAGTTTTCCTTCCATATTAGACAATATGAGGAAGTAAGACATAATAACATGCACCGCAGATTCATTCGTGACTAACTCGTGTTTTTCCGGGACAACCCTTCTTCCATTCGTGACCCACTCGTGTTATTCCGGGACAAGCCGAATAGCGAGGTTACGGAAAGGGGCGAGTGGTGACGAATGCCCGTCTTCTTGCAGGTTACGGAAAGGGGCGAGTGGTGACGAATGGCGCAGAACATGATGCTAATGCAAAGAACATGTAGAAAAGGTTTCAGGATTCATGGTCAAATGTCCTGGAACGTGCTCTTACGGCATTGGCACACAGAGATCTAAAATGGCACATGTATTTCGCTCCTATTGCGTCAATAAACTGATTTCTCATATCATTCGTGACCCACTCGTGTTATTCCTGGACAAGCCGAATAGCGACTCGTGCCCCTCTCGATGGATTTCATATTGGCGCATGAACATCAGAACTACTTTAAACAAGAACGATAACTCTATCCCTGTTTGATTCCAATGTTTCATTTTTTAAACAATGACATAATGTCATAAACGATTGACGTACTCGGGATTATTTTTATCAAAGGACCGCAATCATTACGCGGTACTTGAGAACCACGTCACGCAAACAAGACATTCCTGCTGCCTTATTCGTCAGGCCGCCTTCGCATACTATGTTATGTTTGACAAACATATTATACTTCAAAATGCAGACAAAAGTGACAAAACCCTTTCCATATAAAAGGGGAGTATAAAAGGCTGAACGAACTGCATGCTCACTGGTTGCCACATTTCTGAATAATGCTTCATCAACTGTTACATCTGTACCCGCAACTTTGCCAACATTCGTACATCAATCACAACACATCAGTGTGTGTATGTGTATGTGTGTGTGTGTGTGTGTGCGTGCGTGCGTGCGTGCGTGCGCGCGTGTATGTGATTGAAAGTTGGTCATCAGGCGTGTTTTCCGACAGGGGAGATAACTCCCACCCCTAGTAGTGACAAGGCGCACAAACTAAAGCGCTCATAAAATCTGGGGAACACGATATACTGATATCAGTGCAATAATATGAATTTAACACAACACAGGAAACAGTCAAATTATTTAATCAGTCATGACAGACTACACGTAGTGCAGGGAAGAGCCAGGTGGCGTCACACGTGGATGTAAGATCAATTCTTTAGCTTCAAGCAGCACTTCAAGCCAAATTGAGGGCAGTTAGCTGAACTGGACTGAGAAAATACCGCACAACGGTATGTCCTCGCGCATGTTCCCCCAGCATTTCGGCAGGATACTGCAAATATGTACAACATACAACATGAGTACAAGCCCGGTGCAATGTGGCACGTACAACATAATCATCACAATATTAATAATGTTTGTTGTGAGGTGTTGAAACTTTCACAGGTGTCTCATGAATGATCAAAGTATGCAATACTACTAGCGGCACAGCTGTTTCACAACTTTATCGATGATGAGATGTCGTCAGTGATGATCAAACAGCTAACCTAACTAGAAACACATGAAGCTTTTGGTATATTGGCGATGTCATGTCGTCAGTTATGATCAAACAGCTAATTCCCTGCCACTGATTCTCCCACCTAACTAGAAACACATAAAGCTTCAGGTATATCGGTGATGTCATGTCGTCAGTTATGATCAAACAGCTAATTCCCTGCCACTGATTCTCCCACCTAACTAGAAACACATAAAGCTTCAAGTATATCGGTGATGTCATGTCGTCAGTTATGATCAAACAGCTAATTCCCTGCCACTGATTCTCCCACCTAACTAGAAACACATAAAGCTTCAAGTATATCGATGATGTCATGTCGTCAGTGATGGTCAACCAGCTAATTCTCTTCCACTGATTCACCCGCCTAACTAGAAATACTTAAAGCTTCAAGTATATCGATGATGTGATGTCGTCAGTGATGGTCAACCAGCTAATTCCCTTCCACT